CCCCCCCGTCTCCATCTTCGAATGGACCCAGCTGGAAGGAACGAGCGTAGCTTTTTTTGGCTGCGGAGGCATTAAAAGGGGGTCGGGGTCAGTGTGAGTGTACAATATGCACGCGTGTTGCTCTGTAAAGTGAATCTTCACATGGGCTACCGCCGCAAATCGTCGAAAAAAAACCCACCCATTTTTCAGAATTGCCTGTATGCCGCATTTAACTCTTAAATATGCTCCCCCCACACCCCCTTTCTGTCTATCCTGTGTTGCCATTCCAGAGAAGCCATGAGGAATTACCTGAAGGAGCGAGGGGACCAAACTGTCATGATCCTGCACGCCAAGGTTGCACAGAAATCGTACGGCAACGAGAAAAGGTGAACGGTCCCGTTCTCGTATCGGCCTGTTTTCCTTGGCTCCGGAAGTCAGCCGCGGGGACGGCCTCGGGAGAGTCCGAGTTCATTGTTCCGGGGTTCAGCTTCTGAAAGGCGATTTATGACCAATGAGGCACACAGCTGATGGAACATGACAAGTGTTTCAAGAAGAACTAGTCAAAGTATTTCAAGATCCAAATGAGTCCTGGATTGGAAGCGTCACTTGGTTTATGAAACGGAGTCGTTTGGTTTGCCCTCACTGTCGGTGCGTGGCCGCCCTCTGCTGGAGGCAAAGCCTGCAGTTCGCTTTGGTCACACCAGGCTCCAGGTGTCGCATTTGTTTTCATGGAGGACCGCTTCACAGTTTTGATTGGCCTCAGAAGGCCACAGAAAACTGTGGCACCAGGCAGTCACGGGGAAAACAGTTGTTTGACCCCTTTGTTTTGGTAAATGTCTTGTTTACTTAAATGCCTCGTCAAGTGAGAGTTTTTTTATGTGGCTGATAGAAAGCCAAACACAGAATACCTCAAAGTACTCGTTTTTTGGTCGTGTATTACATTGAACAATGTCAGATTTATCATAAATAAATCATTTGGTGTTAAACCACGAATTCATATGAAAGCCAGTTTATTTACTGACTTCGGTTGGAGCTGACTGCGACAGCTTTACAAAATAAATTCTCACGAATAAATGTGGCATAAATGTCACAAAGTCAAAATCCAGATACGATACAACAAAACAAAAAGATGAAAAGATCTCAAAAACCCGATGCACTAGGGAAAAAAACCTAAAGGCATTTTTAAAAATCAATGCCAAAAAAATTATTTAGGGAGGACACATAAAGCCATCGCTGATTAAAATATGCTGTTGACCAGTGGCATGCTGACATATCTGTCGCTTTATCACTTGTTTCATGCTATAATGATAAGTGAAGTGTGTGTCAAAATTTCCCTGCGCTAAAGCACTGAAACTATTCGGACACAACATATGGAAATAAAGTACACATGGATGTAAAAAAAAAAAAAAAAAAAATTGTTGTTGTCCGGACAACAGCAAACGCAGCCTTTGCAATTTGAAAATGACATCCTTCGACTTTGTACGTTGCAATGTCGATTTAAATTTGATGACTTGTTCATCCCCAATCTTGGCTTTGTGTTTGAAGTGTGACTGGTCTTTGTTGTTGTGTGCAGGTTCTTCTGCCCTCCCCCGTGTGTGTACCTGATGGGCAGCGGCTGGAAAAAAAAGAAGGAGCAGATGGAGCGGGACGGCTGCTCCGAGCAGGAGTCGCAGCCGTGCGCCTTCATCGGCATCGGCAACAGCGACCAGGAAATGCAGCAGCTTAATTTAGAGGGGAAGGTACGACAGCCGCCGGGAGCTCGACTTCCGGGATGTCGCTTTGCGGGCTCGGGTGGAGAAATGGCATTTCGGTTCGGTCACGGAATGTAGTGAACTCATATAAGTCAAGAGTACCAGTGCACATTTCCCATGCTCGGCTCTCATCTTGTCCTCCGCCGTGTCCCGTCCCCAGAACTATTGCACAGCCAAAACCTTGTACATATCGGACTCGGACAAGAGAAAGCACTTCATGTTGTCTGTCAAGATGTTCTACGGCAACAGCGCCGACATCGGCGTCTTCCTCAGCAAGAGGATCAAGGTCATCTCCAAGCCCTCCAAAAAGAAACAGTCCCTGAAAAACGCCGACTGTAAGTAGCGCGGCCACCGAGGGCGCTTATGTCACAGGCGGGGCACCTGCAGTCTTCGCATGTCGGCGGGCTATTTTCTCCACGCTTATCTCACTGTGAACACAGCTGCTGCTCTGCTGAGCATGGGTGGGGGCGGGGGGGGGGCGCTTCTGCTTGGCTCAGGATGAAACGCAGGGGTGGGCAAACTTTATTTTTTGGGGCTGGGGGTCATTTCAAGATTCGATGATGATGATGATGATTATTTGGGGTTTCAAGAGTAGAATCCAAAATGAGAAAGAATTATGTGTGAAATTAGACACGTGGCTGTCAATTAGTCAAGCAACTATTTCATAGAATACAATGTGGCATGCAGTAGTTTACTCCAAATGGTTTTTGTGTCGTTTATTTTAGGAATAAAATGATTCAATTTCGTTTTTTAGTTTTTTTGCCCTTTTTATACTTCATTTAGTGACAATGAATTATCCTCAATGATGTGCACAAAATAGTTCTTTTTATTTATTTTAACTATTCGTTGTCATTATTTTGAATGAATTACTCGGCACTTAAAATAATGTCCAGTGTAATGGTAAAAAATAAACTCATTGATTTATTAATTCTAATTTACTTCTTGAATATAACCTGTAAAATGTTGACATTTTCATACGATAGTGTGTTGTTGAATTTAAATGTAATCTTTCAAATTTATTTTTGATAAGTAATTATTCAACATTTAATAAAATTAAGCAATAGAATGTTTTATTGAAAAAAAACTTTCATTTGTAAATGATCATTTTTAAAAATTGAACTGTTTTGTGTCGATGAATAATAATTTACTCTCATAAAATTTTAATGACTCTGCTTTTGAAGTTAAATGTGTGAAATCATTTATTTGCAGAAGAATCCAGGATTCATCGTTCAAATTTTATTTGTTCTTCCAATTAACCATTCTTTGATTAAAAACAAAGAACTCGTGATTAAATATAAATCCAACATATTTGTTTTATTCATAAGCTAAATGTATTCTCATGTTTTAATTTTCAAATTTATGATTAATTTAATTCTAAGGAAAATACACCATTAAATACATAAAACATGTAAGAGAGTTTGTTTGACTTTTTTCTGTGTGTTTAGTTTACATTAATTAAACAAATCATATATTTCATGCGAGCAGACGGATACGGGACGTGTTCTCGGGCCCCTTTTAAAGAAAAAAAAAACTGCTAAATGAATTCAAGAAATAGAACGGGACTGTGACTTTTGCTAACGCGCGTGATTTCCTCTTTTTCTGCAGTGTGCATCGCGTCGGGCACCAAGGTGGCGCTCTTCAATCGGCTGCGCTCCCAAACAGTCAGCACGCGCTATCTCCACGTAGAGGGGGGCAACTTCCATGCGAGCTCGCAGCAGTGGGGAGCCTTCTACATCCACCTGTGTAAGACCCTCAACCCCCAAATGCCCACCGAATGCTCCGGCGCGCCATGCCGCATTAAAAATCGGGCGCTCGTTTTTGTTTTCCAGTGGACGACGAGGAGTCGGAGGGGGAAGAGTTCACGGTGAGAGACGGTTACATCCACTACGGCCAGACGGTCAAGCTGGTGTGTTCGGTCACCGGCATGGCGCTGCCCCGACTGGTAGGCCAAAAAAAAAAAAAAGCCGCGCCCTTCACCTTCTCCTTTCCTCCACTGTCATAACTCTCAACCTCGCGCCTCGCCTCAGATCATCCGTAAGGTGGACAAGCAGACGGCGCTGCTGGACGCCGACGACCCCGTGTCGCAGCTGCACAAGTGTGCCTTCTACCTGAAGGACACCGAGCGCATGTACCTGTGCCTCTCGCAAGAAAGGATCATCCAGTTTCAAGTGGGTGCTGCTGCCTTGCGCCTGGCCCTGGTGCCAAACTGCCAATGGCAGTTGATGTTTTTTTTTTTTTTTGTCTTAACACCGTCCGCCCCCTCTCCCAGGCCACACCGTGCCCAAAGGAACCAAACAAAGAGATGATCAACGACGGCGCCTCCTGGACAATCATCAGCACGGACAAGGCAGAGTACACCTTCTACGAGGGCATGGGCCCCGTGCAGTCGCCTGTCACCCCTGTGCCTGTGGTCGAGAGCCTACAGGTCCTTTTTATTGCTGCGCCTCCTCACAAACATGATCGATCTCTTCAAACTTTACAACATATACACGACTCACAAAAAGTTTGGGCATATTTGGCTTTCAGGAATGACATTTATGGGGGGAAAAAAAGTAAAAAAAAAATTGCATGTTTGTCTGCGAGCAGCTCAACGGCGGCGGAGACGTCGCCATGCTGGAGCTGACGGGGCAGAACTTCACCCCCAATCTGCGAGTGTGGTTCGGAGATGTCGAGGCCGAGACAATGTACAGGTGTGCCTTTGCCACATCCTTCCAGTCAGCTTTTGATGAGTTTCAGACACACCCACCAGAAATATTTGTGACATTGCGACGATGTAAAAAAAATAATAATAATAAAATTGTAGTTTGACCCCCTCCACTGCCTGTAACATTAAAATGTAATGGTACAAGCTGCCAATTGGAGCCTGGGAAATTTTATATTATTGTAAAAACCCAATCAATACAAACCACAGATTTCCTTGACATACAAGTAAATACGCTCCACAATTAAAAAAAAAAAAAGTCAAACACGATAGACGGGCTCACACGAGTGTTGCGATGTCATAACCTTTTAAGCGGCAGATATTTGAACCTTAACAGTGGAGCAACACCTGTAGGTCGATGAGATCACCGCCAGACATATATTCTTTATCCTCTGTGAAGAACCATTGATAGTACTTAGTGAAAAGCTGAGACCAGCTCCATATGCTGCAAATCTACATGATTGTATTGTACTGACCCCCAGGCAGCCAAACGTAGACGCACCCGAAGAAATGACCGCAATGTCTGAAGGAAACCATTTTCTGTTTTTAGAAACCGCAGTATCATAGAGCGCATTACAGTTTGGGGATGCTGGAAAGGTTTAATGGCATTTCTATTCATTTTAAATGAGGAAAGATGATTTGAAATGTGAAAAGTGGTGTTGGTTATAATCCCTGACTTTTTTGGGGGGGTGGGGTGTTGTCTGCAGGTGTGCAGAGAGCATGCTGTGTGTTGTACCCGACATTTCGGCCTTCCGCGAGGGCTGGCGCTGGGTGCGGCAGCCCGTCCAGGTCCCTGTCACGCTGGTAAGGGAGGACGGCCTCATCTACTCCACCTCACTGACCTTCACCTACACGCCGGAGCCCGGGCCGCGGCCGCACTGCAACGCCGCCGGCGCCATCCTGCGCGCCAGCAACTCGGGCCTGCTGAGCAACAGCGGCGGGCCGGAGGCGGGCGGCGGCGTCTACGGCCCCGGAACGGGCGTCACGTCCTCGTCGGCCGCCGCCACCGCCGCCGCCGTGGTTTCCTAACGCTCGCTCCTCGAGCCAAGATCCCACGAGGTAGAGAACAGTTTGGAATAGTTCAACAAAACACACACACAAAAGTTCTGCGTTTCAATTAAGGGTAAACGGCGAAATGAAAAATGTTCAGGACAAAAGAAGAAACGCGGGGGAAATCTGAAGGAGTGATGTCACAAAGCCGCCCGGTGACGGGACAGGGCGAAATGTGCTCCCCCCCCCCCCACCATCCCCCTCGCCGCCTGCTTCGGCTCCAGTCCTGGTGGTCGAGAACGTCGGCGCGTTCCCGATCCCCGTTCCCGTTTTGCACTGCCCTCCAAATGCTTCCCACACCCAAGTACTCTTGTTGCGTTAGCTGCGCTTTGGGGATGTAGCGTTGTCGGAGGCGGCGCCAGGACGCAAAGGGACACGCAAGCGTGACGTTAACGTAGTTTTAATGGACCAAGGAATTTGTATAAGCTTTAGCAAAGGTACACTTTTCTCCATACCTTTATTCAACATATTGTACACTTTTGTTACCAAATAGTTTGTATTCCTCCTATAATCTTGTGCTCCCCCTAACTCCTGCCCTTATTTTTCCCTCTTCTGTTTGAAGGGGGAGAATAGAAAAGTGAATATGTGTGTCTAGGCGTGCGTGCGTGCGTGCGTGCGTGTCAGGGGAACCACAAAAGAGGGCCTATTTTTTATTCTCATTGGTTTTTATGAAGTCTTTAAAAGAAAAGCTTTAAGCAACGCCTCTGCCTTGCCTGCAATATGTGCGCCATGTCTCCTTTTTGGAATCTCACTCATCACTGGAGCATTTTTTTTTCTCCACAGACAAAAAAAAAAAAAAAAAAGACAGACTTGTGAACCTAGTCGTACAAGTCGGGAAAGAAAGAGCCTTAGTACTGTGCAAGAGAACTGTGTGTATACAGTCCATATCATGTGCGGCCGTGGATCACGTGGACGCACGTCTTCCAAGTGAGCGTGACAACAACAACAACAAAAAAAAAAAAGAGACTTTTTCAATTCAATCCGGCCTTACTGATAAGTTCAGTGACAAAAAAAAAAAAACCCAAGAAGAAAAATGCTTCCGCTCGCCATCCTGTCCAATTTCTCCGCCGGTACTGTCACACAAGAGCCTTCTATTTTTTTAAAAGTCCATCAAGTGGTTGCACTCACGGAGCATATCAAGCAAGGCCTTCTCCGTGTGTTATTCAAGTTTTCCTAACAGCAATATTGTACAGATCATGAGCACTACAAGTTCACCAGCCAGCCAGCCAGTATATCGCACACCCCGTGCATCGTTGAAAAGTAAAATCGAGTTGGGAGTCACTCCATTAATAGTCCAAAAGGAAGAGAAAGCAGGCAATACGTATGCGTGTGACCTTTACAGTACGACTGTAAACTTGAATGTGTGCTGAATGAAGTGCACCAGTTAAGTAGGAAAAAAAAAAAAAAAGACAACCGCAAATTAAGTTATGCCACCCCCCATCTGCCTGTTTTGTCATGAAATGTTGTATATTTTAATATTTTAAATTATTGGTACAAAGTTTCCCCTTCATCTTATGTCATAAAAGTGCATTATTGCCTGTGCTGCCTCGGTGGGCCTGGGATTTTGATTGCTTTTGTGCGTAAAATGCCACGTGTATTGATTTGCTGAGCAACAAAGTGGAGTGTAGCGACACAAATACCCTTTAGCAGCCAGGTCCGGCCCTCCCCTGCGTCCCCCTCCGTCATGTTTTCTTTTGGGCTTTGTTTACATGCTGACCCTCATCTTCCTCCTCATCGTCTCGCGCCTCATCTGAGGACAACGGGCTCTGACCGCGAGCCTTTCTTTGTATAAAGGGACTTCGCCGAGGGCTGCAAAAAGCGTGTTACATGCCTTCTTATCATTAGCCCCTTACCCCCCCCCCCCTCTTTTGGACCACGCCCGACGTTGTTTTTTTTTTTTTTTTTAAGGTTATAACGAGCGCCGAACAATGTATGTAAGCTCTGTAAAATGCCAAATGTCTGATCGTGTAGGTTTTTTCATGCACTGCACAGTGAGAGGCAGCTTTAAACATAACATTTAAAAAAAAAAAAAAAAAAAAAAAGTAGCTCTCAGCCTTACTTCTCAAGACTATTTTGGAGCGCTAACTTTTTTTTCTTTCTCTCACTATTTACATCCCTTATTTAATGTCACTGTCACTATTCCTTCGCTCACTCACTGTATCTGTGTGTTATTCTTGTACTGGTCATTGTGGTAGTATACTCAGTGCTCAAAGGGTAGAAACCTGCGCTGTTTGTAACATTCAGCAATAGCATCAAAGACAAGGGGATGCGTTTTTTTGTTTTTGTTTTTTTTTTTCTGTTTTTGGAATAGCATAGTTTTTGTACATATCGCAGCTCCGGTTCATGCTCAAATCTGTATGTCATTGAAAAAAAAAAACACGGGAAAAATGGCATAAAAACGAGAATTAAAAAAAGTGACAAAAAAAATCTACCTTTGTATGTTTTTTTTTTTTTTTTTAATTGGGCCAGCACAAGCATAATGAAAAATCTCTCCAGCCCAAGAATGTCTCTTAAGGCTCCAGTCATACCGGGACTTCTCTAGTGGTCTACATAAAATGATCTACAAGGTAAGAGCCATTTGGAAGGGAAAAAAAAAAATATGCGCACACAGTATCAATAAATGTTCGATCGGTGAGATGACCTCATTCTCACTGCTGTTTGTTTGCAGATTGAGTCTGTGGAAGTGTGCTGGGCAATACCGGGAATCAAAACTTTCCACGGAGCAGGTGTTCCGCTTCCCACTCACATCAAGATAAGACCGACACCTGACAGTAAACACACACGGATTTGTGAGTCTGTTTCGTCCGTCACACGTCCTGGGAAATCCGCCGTATTTGCTTTTTTGGCTTGAGATAGGTGTGAAACAATTTTCAAGGCTATTCATAGAAGAATGTCTCTCTGTGCACCTTCAAGGCCTTTCGTCCAGTGACTTTATTATTGATCCCTATGACAGTAGATGTGTACCCTCAGGGACTACGCTGGAGAATAGTGTCTTCTGTGGAGCTTTTAAAGGTACCGTACCTTCAAATGCCGCACAATGTTTTCTCGGAGACTCCTGCCTTTTGAAGTCCATGTTGTTGGATGAAGGAACCATTTTCCCCTTAGTCAAGCATCCAAACATTTTACAAATGAGGCTACCCATTGTCGGGCTCCCAAAGAGTTTCAGCGATGAACTGAAAACCACTTCAGACCAATTCTGGTGGCAGCAGCGAGCGAATGCTGGTGAAGCTGATGTACTTGGTGAGGCCGCCCAGAGCACCTTGACTGTTTTGCTCGGCGTTCTGCTCCGGCGTTTGCTCGACATTCTGCTCGGGGTACGGATCAATGTATAGCTCCACGAAGGTTTCGCCGATCTGCTCGGCAGATGGCTCGGTATTCAGTTGGGGAAGCTGCTCGAGAACTTGCTCGAGGACGTCCCCGGGAAGTTGCTCGAGCACCTGCTCGGGTATCGGCTGGGAGGCCTCCTGGACATTCTCCGCGACGAGCGGCGTGGCGGATGGCACGCCGCGCCGCGCCAGCCTCCGCTGGTCCTTCATCTGTCGCTTTTCCAGCCGCTTTTGTTGGCGCTTTTGCTTCCGCCTCTCCTGGCGCTTGTGCAGAGCACTCTCCTCGGGCCCCTCGTACCATTTCGCCTCGATGATCTGGGTCCAAATGTCTATGACGCGCGCCTTGAGCTGCAAGGATGAGAAGGTGGTCACCATGCCCTGGCGGAAGCGCTTGTTCATGAAGCAGTAGACGATGGGGTTGACGCAAGTGGACGTGTACGACAGGAGGTGAATGAAGGAGATGGGCGCGCCTGTCAGACGGGAGACCAACCGCGAGTCAAAAGCCTTCCACGCGTTTACCACGAAGATCGGGGTCCAGCACACAAAGAACAGGCAGACGATGACCAGGAGCATGCGAACCACTCGCTTCTTGGCCAGCAGGTTGGCCGTGTTGCTTCGGAGGCCCACGCGGCCCACCGTGGCGTAAGCGCCGGGATTGCCGATACCCTGCGACCCATTTTTCTTTTTTAAATGAAGGTAGCAGCCGTCGCCGTCGCTTGCTCGAAGGCTGCCAAAGCTTGCCGGTCTGTCTGCAAAGAGATGACAATGTAGAAAACGGTACCGGTTGGCCAAACGGTTGCAGATGGTTGCTAGCGGCTTAACCAGTTCCCTGCCTGAATGGGTTGCAGACTAGCGTTCGGATCTTCGACAGTTCTCTGCTTGAATTGGTTGCAGACAACGCTTAGGTACTTAACCACTTCACTGCCCAAATGGGTCACATACTAGATGTCAGGGCTGAATGGATCAGACTAAGATCAAGTAGTTCAACGGTTTCTTGCCCGAATGGCAGACTAGCTTTAGGTCTTAAACCGGTTTGATGACAGCAACGTTAGGGGCCGAACTAGTTTGCCGCCTCAACGGGTCGCAGATTGCTGTACCTCTGGCTGATGTCCTGTTGGACAGCTCGAATCTGATCCCCTTGTAGAGCTCCACAGAGATGAGTCCGTAGGCAGTCAGCATCACAGCGCCGGGCAGCAAGAAGAGCAGCAGCAACAAGGACACGTACCTGTGACAGACAAAAGTTCACATCCAGACCGCTTGTCGGTGGTCTTGTGTTCAGCGTACCAATATGCCAGGAGGTTTCCGTTACTCCACGTCATGCGGCACATGAAGCCGCCGGTGTTGTTGCGGCGATTAAATGGCGTCAGCGTGCTGGAATAGGCGTAGGGCAGCATAAGCGACAAAGACGTCAGCCAGGTGGCACTGATGACCTTCAGAGCGTGCGATTTGGTCTGCCACGTCCTGGAGGTCAGCGGTCTACAGATGGCGCTGTAGCGTTCCAGCGCGATGGCCACCAGGTTGTAGGTGGAAACACTCACAGAGACCCCTGGGACAAAAAAAAAAGACATTTGGAATCCGGGGTTCCAATGCTCAGCCGACAAACAGCGGGAAAATGTGAAGGGTGTCAATAGAGGATGTGTCGCAAATGGTGCTTTGAGTGGAGTAAACTATTTGCTGCCTAAATGGGTTGCATATTGGAGCATTTGAGACTTAACCAGTTTGTTGCCTAAAAGGGTTGCACGTTTAGTGTTGGGGGCTTCACCCATTTGCTGGCTCAACATATGTTGCACGTGATCGTGTTCGGGCCTTTGCCATGTGCCCAAACGGGTTGCTGATTCTCGCTTTGGGGGCTTAACCCATTTCTTGCCTAATTGAGTTGTACGTGCTCACATTAAAGGGTTTGCTCATTTGTTGCCTGACTGGGTGGCACTTCCAGTTTTCTGCCTTGAATAGGTTGCAAGTGGTACTGTTATGATGGGTAACACAATGGATCAAATCTCTAACGCCAACCTAATTCTGGAGCAAAATGTTGAAGCCCCAAACACTTGCAACACTTTTAGACTGAAAATGTGTCAAATATAAATGCGACCCTTTGCAACACATTTAGGCCGCAAACTGGCTCCGATTCAAATGCTGCCATCTGTAACATATGCAATCAAACTGGTCCCGCCACTGATGCCGCCATGTGCAACCCATGAAGGCCGTAAGACCTTTCGCACTGCACTTGGTAATCTTGGTGCGCACTGTGGGGCAGCGCGCAAGGACGACGTCGTCCCGGTGCAAGCGGTCTTAAGCCAGCAACATCATACCCATAAAGTACATGACCATCTTGCATGTGATGTCGCTGAAGACAAAGGTCCGCATGAGGTTGGGGATGAGGGTGAAGGGGATGCACACCAGGGAGACCATCAGGTCGCTCACGGCCAGGGAGAGCAGGAACAAGTTGGTCACGGTGCGCATGCGCCGGTTCCGAGAGAGAACCGTGATGATGAGGCTGTTCCCCACCACGCTGATGAGGAAGATGACGCAGTACAGGAAGACCCGCACGGCACCGTTGAGATCTACGGGGGTGGGATCACGCAGGACAAACACTCAAAATGACAGGAATGGGGACAGTCTAAAAGCATAACATCAAAAAACTGCAACCAATCATCACCAAAATTGATGTGGAGATCTCTAGTTCTGTCCACTGAAAATATAAGTATGATCGGCCCGATATTTGAAATTTTATGGACATTAAAACTCATTCACTGCAGCCCGGGTAAAACAACGGACCTTTTGACTTCAATGGCGCCGAATGAGTTTTAAGTGTTTTCTTATTGTTCTTTTTCTTTGAGCGCCTACAGAGAGGAAGACATTTCCATATAATCCAAAAGCGATGATTTAATGTGTTGCTGAAGGTGTGGTGATACTCTCGCCTGACTTGTATGCGGGCAGCGTGGGATCGGTTCCCATTCAGTGAGAGTGGATTGTGGGTGTAAATGCGTGGTTGTCTCCATTTGTACCCTTTGACTGACTGGCGACCAGTTCAGGTTGTAGTCCTTCTGCCCGAAATTCAGCCGGGACAGGCTCCAGCGCTCCCTCGTGACCCGGTTGAGGATGAGCAGCGTTGAAAATGGATGGATTTAATATTTGCGGCGGGTGAAGTTGGCATAAGTAGACATGTCCACATACATTTTGGTGAAGACTGATCCCAGTTTAATGACAAGTGACCAAGTAACGTTTAGCTGTATGGTGAGGAAAACACTCAATGTCCGTAAAATCCCAAATATTGGGGCGATCGTTGTAATATTTTCAAACATTAAGGTGGGCATGAATAGAAATGAGTTTGATTTCCGACATTAAGCAACGGTAAGTTTTTTTTTTTTTTTTTTAATAACATGAAGCGTTTTAGACTGGCCACGAATGTGCAAATGGGACGCGAGTGAGCTGTTTTGTTGTGGGGGAGCGCAGGCGTGCGTCATGCGCAATTACGCGCTGGACGCCTCCGTTCCAAGTTGAAAGAAGGTTAATTGAAAGGAAGTAGACGAAGAGTCGATACCTTTGACGCCCATGTCCGCTGTTGACACTCTCGAAGGCTCACCACAACCCGAGAAGTTGCTGACGCCCCATTTGCACAAAAGCGCGCTCATTTCTGTTGAGTTGAGCATTTCGTGCACGGTGAAGGCGTCCATGGTGCGGAGATGAGGGGGAGAAGTAAAAAAAAAAAAAAAAACGCCGTGATGTCTTGATTTTTTCCCCCCCTCCCCACTACAGTGCTGGCTGGCGGGGCTTACGCTCCGACTGCACTGGTCTCTCTTCTGGCTTCAACTGGCCGCCTCAGAGCTCTGTGCGTGTCACCATTGGGCTTTCTTGACGTCATCACTTAGTGACAGTGGGGCATCACAGCTGGCTGGGGGGCCCCACCTCCGCGTCGTCAGTCGTGGATCGTGACATCACGGGTCAATGCATTTACACTATTTTCAGAGTGGGACCAAAGTAGGACATGTTTTGTTTTTTCATTATATTTTGCACGTTTGTTACAGTGACATTTATTAAACTGTTTAATCTCCTCACTCCAAAGTAGAATTTTTCTTCCTTCTCTTTACTCGTCCTTCCTTTCATTCTTCCATTTAGTTTTAATTTATTTTGGTCAAACCAGGTCGTGATCCGGCTCGCCTCTCACCTGCATTTTGTAAGAGCTGCTCCAAGTTGTATGGCATAGGAGCTTTGTGTCAATCGCAAACAGTGTTCTTTGGGGTGTTTTTGGTGTGACACCCCACATGTACTTTTCTGTAACTGCGATTTAAAATTTCCTATTCATATCAGTATTGATTTTGTAAATAATTACTTATCCATGTCAGCCCCGTCCCTCTAATGGCATATTTTTGACTTCTTACTCTTGAGTTTTCTCACGGTGCCAATGGTTACTTCATCCGTTCCTCGACATTCCTTCCTTTACATTTTCAGTATATATTTACTCTCAACCTCTTCACCAGTTTCTACAATCTCACTCGCCACGGCAAGACTGACACCAAAAAAAAATGTTGAATTTCTCAGAAGCTTTGGACATGTCATCATAGTGTATAGTGTCATCCTTTATTACAGATATTGGGGGTTGTTGCCTTCATACTATTTCGAACCTCCGGCGCCCTCGGAGTTTGCGATTACTTGTAGTTTGTCCCAGCGGTTCTGCCGTACCAGCGGCAGCATTTTTCAATTCCGGGTTCGCTCCGTCTTTTTCGTTCTCCAACGCGACGCGGTTTGGTCGAGGAAACATGAACGAAGATGCCGAGTTGTCACAGACTATTGCTCAGCTCGTCCGACGCCTGAAAGGGACCCATTTACACGCTCAAATGGAACGAGAAGCTAGAGTGAGTATGCTTGCATAACGCCCTAAACCAGACAAATGTCCTACAATCAGCATTTGTTTTCAAACTGATTGCAGGAGTGTTTACATCAACCGGAGATCCAGCTGGACTCTCTGAAGGACGACGTTCGGAGTTTCCTTAGAACATCAGGTGCCACAGTGTAACAGGGCCAGTAAAAAAAAACGTAGACATACTTACTGTACTGCGTTATTATTACACAAAATATGTGAAAGATAAATACCTGACGTATTCTTTTACTCTATCCATCCATTATCAAACGTGGAACAATTTTTTTTATGCGTTCCCCTATTACAACAATTATGGTGGCACTGCCTCATTTAAATTGTTCTCACGCCTTGGACCCGACCCCCCCCCCCCTTTTCTCTTAATAGCAATGGGGAGCTTAACATCTTTAGCTGAAGAAACTTTTAGTTTCATTCCCGAGTTTAAATAGTTTAATAAACCGATGTGCCATATAATTTGTGTGGGGGCACGCTGTCCCACCATAATTGACGGGAGGACGTTGTTTTTTGCTGTTATCGTCAGGTTTTGCTATTGAGACGATTAAACGCAACCGATATCGTAATTTCTTAAATTCATCGCATAGTAAAAGGAACAGAACGTTTTGCACTCACTTTGTTGTTGTTGTTGACAGGTTGGGAAAGAAAGCTCCAGAATGCAGTGCATCGAGAATTACACGTGTAAGTCAAAACAAAGGTAGTAACCTCGCCACCAGTGATTAGGTCCCAATAGAAAAAAAAATAACAAGGGGTCCTTGTTTTACGTTGACGTTTTGTGGTTAGGAACCTTGGGGGATGGGGGGGGGGGGGTAAAACATCCGGTATGATAGACGGTACAAATGTTTCCAAGTGCTATTTTTAACACGACTACGTTTTTTTTGAGTCTTAAGTTGTCTAAAAGTGCGTTGTAGCTTTGCAAGGATGAAGTGACAGAGGCTGCAGCAAAACAAGTGGTTCTCAACTTTTCTCCAGATGAGAACACTCAACTGCCCCCCCCGCCCCCCCCCACACACACACACACGCACGCACCTGATTCTCATCACTCAGGTCCCCGCCATGCTCTTATAGCTGTTTAGATGAGCTTCAATGAGGTTTATTTAGCCCTGAGGACACATCGATCATGACCACCCACCTGCTTGGAAAGAAGAATGAAGCCTATGGGTCTTAACCCCCCTAAACTGGTAAAATAAACTCTTCTTCTGCGTTTGTTTCCAGCGGGAGACTGGCCCCGAGCCTCCCGGCAGTCCCCGCAGAGCACCTCAAAGAGCCTTTGGCATACATGCGCAAGGCCCAGGTCAGCCTCTTCCTGCTACATTACTGCTGCTTTAACCTCCGTGGCGTCTGCCATTTCAGCCTGTTGTAAGATGTGTTTGCGTGTGTCACAGGCCAGCTGGGAGAGGCGCATCGTGAAAAGTCTGAACAGCATGAGCACAGAACTGGGAGTACCTCTGGCCCGAATGGTAAAATATACACATTTGGGTTGGGGGGGGGAGGCACAAGCTTTCAACTCGGCCTGCTACCTGAAAGTTAATATCAGTGGGACAGGTTGGGGCCCACCCGAGATGGACTTTTTTCTTTAAGGTCGACTGATTAATTGGACGATTATTTTATATGAAATCACATCTTGTTTTTTTTTCCCTGAATGCTTTCAAAACCAAGGACAAAAATGTGCAAAGAAGCACGAGCTGACATATTTAGCTTCAGATTTAGGCAATAAATATACATACAATATGCCGCACATAAGCATGGTAATGAGTCGAGTTACTGGTGAAACATGATTGATGCATGGTGCCCTTCAATGTTGAATCACATCTCTTCCACTCCATAATTTTCACAATCGGAATGACATGAATCAAATTGGCTGATGACTCCGTCGGGCTTTCGCCGACCTGCGCTTCATGGCTGTGCGACTTTGTCACGTTTTGCCCTGCAGAGGCCTGCGACCGAGCAGCAGGAGCTAAGCAACAAATGGAACGAGATGGGCACAGATGAACCAGGTATTTTAAAAATCGTCTCTCAACATGATGTTTTTATCGTTCAGTAACGTTTTGTAATATACACACACTTTGAATCGTAACTCTTCCATGAGCTTGCACTTGGGAGTACAACCCCAGCACCGCCTTGTATATTAACATTTCGGATTTGGGGATATAAACACGGCAGATATAGAAGCTGTCCAGACCCCCGTCGAGCCCCCTCCTTCAGCTCGAGTGGTGATGCGAGTCTTCCGAGGATGACGGGCCACTCGAATTTACAGGCCGGCTGCAATGCTGGACGCAAGGTCCCAACGTGCCGCCGTCTTCCTGTTCTGCTCGTTGGGTGGTTGACAGCTGGCAGAAATGTGCACTCCAAACGAGTTTTTCCCTTATTATAGAGAATTTGGACTCAGTGGGTTTTTTTTATTTTTTTAAAGGAAGAAAAGCACTCTATAATAATATACTGAGTGTTGCATCAAATTCTGTCTCTTGTGTGCTTGCAGACTTGAGTCGCTTCAGGCCGGTCTACGCCCCCAAAGACTTCCTGGAGGTGAGTGCACGTCACGGCGCGGCCACCGCTCGTTGAGTCCGCCGCACTTTACGACCCGGCTTGCGCGCAGGTGGTGGTCGCCCTGCGGAGCCCCAACCTCAACAGCGGTGAGGACGCCGGTGCCAGGAGCCACTGGGGCCTCGTCCAGGTGCCCTTGGGTGTCAAGGACATCGCACAGCTGGTAGGGCTGCTCTGTGTTCACACTTGACTTCGGCATGTTTGATTTACACTTTTCATGACTTGTTCTTTCTCAGAGAGAAACCTACGCGGAACTGAGCCTCGCCACCGGGCAGCTAGGGATCGACGACAATGCGCACATCCACCCAGGCACTCACTCCCTCTTTTTTTTTCCTTTCATTCCTTTCAAATTAACCAGGAAAGGCCTATTGAGATTAAAAACCTGTTTTCAAGGTAGTCCTGGCCAAGAGGCAGCAACAAACATAAAATGCAGTGACAAATTGAACACTGAATTTTCCAGTTAGCTTCAAGCCTTTTTGTAGCATATTGCCTACTTAGGAACAGAGGATACAAAAGCTCTTTTAGCCAACTCCCTAAATTTGCATCGGACACACAAGTCAGTAAAATAAATGGCAAATAAGAGGGGGCTCAAGGTAGATTCCTGCGGCACCCCCATCATGTTTAATACACTGGGACCTATTGCCGAGGTCATTTGAAAACCAGGCAACTGTGTTGTGCCCTGAACGTCCCAAGTGACACAAGCAGATATTTATGGTCTCTTCTTTTTAATGGCACCCCACATATCTTATGTCTTAACTTGTGGGGCCGGGTGAAAAATGAGGGATCCCCACCGCTGCTGATGCACTTTCAGCCATATACTGAAGAGAACAGTCAAACAAAATGAAATCACTCTCAAGGAGCACGGAGAAGACGCGAATGCCAAATTAACCGCGTGGTCAAAGGGCCAACCCAACTGACTCCCAGCTCATGACATCACTCATGAAGAGAGAAGTGTCAGGTTTGAACTTGATAAATGTTATAAAGTGACAATTTTTATTTCCGCATTTGGCAAAACATCTAATAAATCAAAGTTACTATAGCTGTTTTTAAATCGTTTTGAAATCCAAAAGAAGACCCCTAAAAATGAAATGGGAATAAAAACAAATGTCTGAATTAAAAATGAGAAAGCGGAATGGTGAATTATTCACAAATTCAGCTATTGGCTGATATTTTATTTATTTTTTGTAAACCACTCCTTGATTGGCTGAAAAACTCAACTGAAGTTTTTGTGCGCAATTAAAGTTTGACTTTGGCTCCATCTCATAGCGTATTGGTGCTTACGAGCTATGTTGCAGTGAGTTGAGGAGCTCCATGCAGTGCTCGGCTGCCATCTTGTGGCATTGTAATCTTTTTTTTCCCCGTTATTTTTGTCACCGGCTGAATACTAACGAGCGCTTTCTCCTCCTCTGCAGACGTATTTGAAAACAACTACATTGACATCGGAAAGAAAGGTAAGCGGAGCTCGGTGGCCCGCAGTCCCGCTTCCCGGCGTCTCATCCTCTCGTGTCGCCGTAGTGCTCGCCAAGCAGGACAGCGCGGCGGCGCAACAGTACAGCCGGCGGGGCTGCCCCACGGGGCTGCGGGCCGACCTCTGGGCCCTCATCCTGAATTCTGTCAACCAGCCGCAGGTTGGAAACCCGACGCGCACGCCCAGCGCAGCCGCCGTCTGTGTTTGTCTTCAAGCAGCTGTGCCGATTCCCAAAACGGTTTTATTTTTATTCTATCACAACTCCTTTTTTGGCCATCTGGCCCCACAAACGCAGCTTGGAACCCGCCGCCTTAAGTACACCGCGATCCTCCAGCTGTGCCATTTTGGATGTTTACACGCGGCCAGTCCATCCAGACGCTGTCAATCAAAGTGCGATTAACCCAAACAGAACATCCAGCCTCCCTTGTGGCAAAGTCTTCCTATAAACCTGGCCATAAAACCGCAAGACGGATGCCGGCGGGAGAGAGTCTGGAACTCGTCTCACGTCGATTTATTTAAATAGATGAGATTCTTGTGTCGTGTTCCCACTCCAAAACTTCCACTGAGCGAACTTCCACCGTCGTGGTCGCTTTCTGTCGCGCGCGCTTCCGCACCACGCATCCGTCATCTCGCAGCGGGACAGTTTTATCGCCGCGGCCGCCTATTCCTCACGCCGCACGTCCAAGCGGAGACACTTGAGAGTGGGGAGGCGTTGTCGGAAACGCCATCCAGCTCATCCGGGCAGAGTATGAGCACCTGCTGTGACAAGGGGGGGCAATATTTAGATAACATCGTCAACAGTGCAACGACGACAAGCAATATACGCCCGTATTACAAGAAACAATTTCAGAATAATTGTAATAAATGTTTTGCTCTCGTAGTTTGGGCTTACGCTAAAATCAAGGCAAAGGATCCACGAGTTCATTTGAAAGACAGTTACTCTGCTTCAATGACAGTTGTTCACCTGCGTTACATTTTGACTTCCAAGTAGAGAGAGGCCAATGTTGTTGTTTTTTTTCCAGGGCTGATTATTAACAGCCAAGGAGGCTGATAACCGATATTGAGAGCTGATATTTATTTACGGTAAAAGGAAATGTCAAAGTATGTTTTTCGACTTTCGAGCGTCCGTTTGTTCAACAGCTTTTCAAATGATCAACTTGTTCAAGGTTTTTTTTTTTTTTTTTTTTTTTTTAAATCTTTGACAATAGGCGATATAAATCAGAATGTACTGTATTGTATCTCTGTTTTAGAATTCAAACGGCTACAGCTGTGAGCTGCCAGGCTCAGCAGCGGGTCATTGAAAATGAATGAATGAATACTCCAGCAAATAAGTTCATTTTTCCAGAGTAAATCAACGTTTTCCCAAATTTCAGTATTACACAAATGTTATCTTTGTTTTAAGTTAAAAAAAAGTCACAAGTACTCAGCATTTTAAATTGATCTCTTTTTGACGATCAGATTTTTTTTTTTTTAATGGCTGAAATTCAATAGACCAAATATCGGTCCATCTCTACTTTTAAGCTTTTGCTTGGGCAACTTCACCAAATTCTTCTTTGGCCCGGTTATTGGAGCCACATTTTTGCCTCCTTTTTAGGATGTGCTGCATTTTGAGCAGCTGAAGGCAGGAGTCCTCCAACATGACCTGCTGGTGGACAACCTCATCTACAAGGTAACGCTTGGGCAACTTCACCAAATTCTTCTTTGCCTCCTTTTTAGGATGTGCTGCATTTTGAGCAGCTGAAGGCAGGAGTCCTCCAACATGACCTGCTGGTGGACAACCTCATCTACAAGGTAAGCAAACCTGCTCGCTCACTTGCTCAGCCGGCCAGCAGATTGACATGCCGCGTCCTCCCCGCAGGATGTGAAGCTGACCGCCAGTAACGACGACTACTACTTTGTCTTCGAAGACTTCCTCTACCAGGTATTTTCATTTGGACCTCGACTTCCTCCTCCTTGCTCAGGCGATTTCAACTCAAAATCCCCCTTCAGGTCTTGCTGTGTTTCTCGCGGGACGCCGCTGTCTTGGAGCACTTCAAGTACAACAGCGCCACGCCGCCCAAGTCTTACATCCAAGGTGAGCAAATGAGGCGAGCGCGCATCGTGAAGCAAGCGCGGGCTGGTGCAATCGTGTCCTTGCTGTCTGGCCCGCAGGCAAAGAAGGGGATGACGACTACGCCGTTTTCTATCCTCCCAACGGTGAGCGCCCATTTTGACCTTCCAAATGCCTTTCTCGAGGTCAAATTCAGTAGCCACGATAAAGAAGACATTGAAACATTTTTCCCACAGTTTAAAATAGAGTGCAACAATTTTGAAATATAATGTAATTGCAATTTTTTTCCTCAATATATTGCGATAATGATTTAGTATGAGATCATTTACTATATGTCTATTTTCTTGATTTTTATTGCTATAGTGTCAAGATGAGTTCAGTGCAGTCCCTGTGTTTACATATCACAGTTTCATTCAAACACAAAGAGTTGAAGTGGTGACGCCACAGATTTAGTTGCATTATCGTCGTCATTTGACTTTGAACTAACAGAATTGTGTCAACGCCACAGCAGTAATTTCAGGTTGTCGGAACATTTTTGTATCATAAACCTGATCCTGTTTATTATAATACGGATTCATTTCTTATTTGCAAAATTTGGTATCGGTGAGCACTCGGGAGTGAATCCTCGTACTGGTATCGGTCTGGAAAAAAATGTGCCTCATAGTTCTACCTAGTTTTTTTTTTTTTTTTTTTAATGTTTCGTTTTAGTTTAGTTTTGATTAGCTTTTGCATTAGTTTTAGATTTTTAATTGACTAGGTATTTGTGGCGTCACAACACAGTTTAAAAAAAAAGGTCACTAAGTGTTTTGGAATGAAGAACACTACAATTCTCAAAAAAACTGTTTGACTTCTGTACGGACGTACGGCAATATCGAAATGAATACATTGAAAATGAACCCTAAAAGCTCATGTTCGATATTAATTGACAAATATGAAGAATATTTTCACTATAATTAGTTTATAAGCTAAGATGCAGTTTTTTTTGCTTCTTAAAAAGATTTTGATTAAACGCAAATATTTTTTCAGTTTTTTTTTTTTTTTCCCCCTAATGACTTTGCTTACTCACTCACGTACGGATTTACACGATATTTGCGGCCCACGCCTTTGGTCGAATTTTTGGGGGGCACTTTGGGAACTGGTGTGTCCCCTCATTTTGCAACAGGTGTCATCCCGTTCCACGGCTTCTCGATGTACGGTGAGTCAAACGGCCGTCGCTCTCTTTGAAGAGACACCGAAGCTTCGTCAACGACGCTGCCACATCTTCCAGTGGCGCCGCTGTGCTTGCTGTACAACGAACCGTCCAAGCTGTACAGCGTCTTCAGGGAGATGTACACTCGCTACTTCTTCCGACTGCACTCGGTGTCCTCGGCGTGCTCGGTAAGAACGCGCCGACGCGGGCGACATGGCGTGCTCTCTCGTGACGTCTCTCTGTCCCACAGGGTATCGTTTCTCTGTGTCTACTTTTTGAGCGGCTCCTGCAAACGCACCTGCCGCAGCTCTTCTACCACCTTCGACAGATCGGAGCGCAGCCGTAAGTTGTTCATTCATCACTTGAGGTGAAATATATTTCGTTAGCAAATTATGAAGAATAAAATAAAAATGTTTACTGTTTTTGTGTTTTATGTCAAATTGTTTCTCTGTCATGAAAAAGCCACACTCGTTTTGTTTTATTCACATTTTAAAAGACTGGCAATTAGACAATGTTTGATTTCAAAATATTTCATTTATATGGACGTTTTATTTTAATCAAATAATCATCCACGCGTTTGTTTATTCGATTTACTGTGTAGTTTCATTGAATAGTTAAGTGAAAAAAATATTTTGAATTTTTTTAAACAAGAAAAACACTCATTTTTTTATTTATATCTTCAAAACATAAAGCATTTATTCAGTAGATCATTTTAATCGTTTTTTTCTATTTTAAATATTTTTCAATTATGAACTCATTTTGTTTGTACTCTATTTTTTAATTAGGCATTTAAAAAAGTAGCGCAGATTATTTGATCGAACTTTGCACTTCGTTTTTTTTTTTGTTTAAGAACATCATGCTATTTTATTTGCAATATTATTTAATTACAACCACTCAACTAATAAATAAAACAATGTGTAGAGTTGTTTTTTTATTAACATTTTATTTTTTCATCTTAAAATAAGTAAATCCAGCAATAAATTAATTCAGCGCTATGACAACAAATGTTTAAATTCAACTCGGCTTCGAGCTGCTGTGTTGTACTCTGAGCTTATGCCGCCACCTTGTGGTTAATTGTCTCATTACCAAAACATGGCATTGGATTCAGCCAGTGTTTTTATTGGTCGGCAGGTTGCGCATCGCCTTCAAGTGGCTGGTCCGAGCTTTTTCGGGTTATCTTTGCACCGACCAGCTGCTTTTCCTTTGGGACCGAATCCTGGGCTACGACTCCCTCGAGCCGGTAGCAGGTAAGGTTCGTCAAGGCCGTCGGGCGCCCACTTTCTTTACGCTAGCTATCATATGAATGTCTTGCAGTTCTGGCAGCCGCCATCTTCGCCTTTCGGGCCGACAACTTGATGGAAGTGACGTCTCTGGCTTCGGCTGAGGTACACGCCACACATTCTGATGTCCCTTGTTTTGTAGAAGGCCTTACTTGGCAGACAATTAAAAAAATATTGTTTTATGTTGTGGAAAGAATGACAAATTGTAAGCAATCATTTGGATTCATCCAGCACAACCATCAACACTTTATATTGTATGTGTCATAGCATATACAGTATTTAACTGTGTTGCGCAACCATGTCGTAGATACTCAGACACCTGAAAAAATATATTTAAAAAAATCTTGCTGATTAAATACTTTACACTTGAGGGCATATACAGTATTTAACTGTTGCGCAACCATGTCGGAGATACTCAGGCACCTGAAAAAATATATTAAAAAAAATCTTGCTGATTAAATACTTTACACTTGAGCCAAATTATATTCGAATACTCTTCTAATTTTAGTGGTACTCCAATTAACAGCAACAGGCAAATTGCTGAGGTTTGGCTAGCAGTGTTACTGCTCTGTAAGGTCAAGAACGAATTTAAGCGAATGAATATGAGCCACGGGGTTCAATTGGTTTGAGTAACAGAATTCGTTATGGCTGAAAACATAAAAAGAAAAATAATTTCAGTTTTGTCACGTTGCTCACTTTTTTTCCCTCTGCTTACAGCTGCCGAAAAAGGCTTTAGTTAACAGGGTTGTTATCGAAGCTTGTGTCAAAGCTTCATGTTTTTAAGCTTCAAGGAAGATAGATTGATGTATTGCATCTGTTGTTTTTGTTGTGCAAGGTGGCTTAGTCACGTTGCTCACTTTTTTCCCTTCTGCTTATAGCTGCCGAAAAGGCTTTAGTTAACAGGGTTGTTGTCGAAGCTTGTGTCAAAGCTTAATGTTTTTAGCTACAAGGAAGCTAGATATATGTATTGCATCTGTTGTTTTTGTTGTGCAAGGTGGCCATTTGAAATAGTGTTGATGAATCATTTTTTTCGATTAGGCCCTAAAGATGCACATTAAGTAGCCATTTGCTCATCTGGTCCACTGCAGGCCGTCCTTGCCGATCTTTCAACCCTCAAAGTCATGCCGCTCATCCAGATCTTCCTGTTTGCCGTCTAAGCCAAGCATCCAGCGCGCAAAGAAGCAAGTAAATCCTTCATGGTGATGTCACCGAAATTGTTGGCTTGTATCCTCTCGTCGCGATTCTCAAAGTGAGGCCCGCGGACCAACAATTTAAATGTTCAGTTGCCGCCTAAGATTTCACCTGGGGCACAAATTCAGTTGCATTTACCTTTAAAGTGCAATACGTCTGCATGTCACATTTTACAACTGTTTACATTCATTGAAGTAGAACGTGTTTAACTTATTAAGCAATCACTGTTTATTTAAGCGCACTTCATCCTTTTTTATTTTACAGCTTTGTGGCCAAAAGTCAATAAATAAATAAAACAAGTCATACACGCACAGTCACTTCAATGCTGTGTCAATATATTCAATGTTCCGGGAATAAAAAAAGAAATGTAAACTTCATAAAAGCACTCGAGACGTTGAGGAGCAAGACTGCACAAATAGGGCGACTTCAGGCAAGTCGCACGCCATTTAGCGGTTGATTTAAAATGTAGAAAATGTCCAATTACAAATATGGAAGGTCCTCTTGCCTTATCAGTATAAAAACGTAGACACGGCCACCGTGATCCTTCCCACTGGTAGCAGAACTGAAGAAGAATTAATCAACAAACCCACTTCATCGATTTACAAAAAAAAAAAAGGTTTACACAACTTTGCGTGCAACACAGTTCAAGTCAGAAACACCTCGTTGGGCCAGAAAAACATCAATAAATAAATTACCCCCCCTCAAGAAAAAAAAAAAAAAGGAATCTCAGTAGGCATTTCTTCTTTTCAGTGCGAGATGACGTCAATACGACGGCTCAGTAAACGAGGTTGCAAAAAACCCGGCGAGTCGGGAGCGGCCAACGAGTCCGGAGAGATCTCCCGAGGTCAGACGTCGTAGTCAGGCAAGGCCGAGTAGGCCACGCCTCCGACCGACGGGCCGCCAGAGTAGAGTGGAAGGAGCCAGCACAACACGGAACCTGATTGGAGGAGAGGGACAGCACAAATTGCCGCCACCAATCGGCCATGAAAATCGGAGTCACATCGTCTCTGGATTAGTTCTATGCTTAAGAAGTGCACCCCCCCCCCCCTTCCCAAAAAAACAAAACATTGGAAGACGACTTAGAAAAAAAATAATCGCATGTTCAATCTCAATATTGAGTCGAAAAAAAAATGCCTGATTATTTTTTCCAATTTCATCGCTAACGTTATCTCACCTCGTCCAAAAACCTCCCGCAGCAGCGCCAGCTTGGGCTTGCGCGTGGCGTGGTGAGGCGGCGGCTGCGAGGACGACGACGATAACGACGAGCCTCGTTCCTTCATCAGCAGCAGCCTGTTCCTCATCTGCTCGATGGGCGTCTCGTCGGCGATAATGGACGCCAACTGGCATGAAAGGGGGAAAAAAAAAGGGGGGGTTTGTTTTGGACACCAATCTGAATTCGTCATCATATTTCCACTAGCTCGGGCACCTGATCGTAAAAGATGACCAGGACGAAGACGCCGAAGAGCACCGACTCCACCAGCAGGATGATGTAATGCGCGCTGGAGAGCACAAACACACGTCAAGAACACACGCCGGCGAGTTTGCCACTTGAAATGGGACGTACACGATCAAGTGCTTGCCGGGCGCGTCGTCCGCCTCGCCGCCGCCGTCCCTCTCGCTGCGGATGCGCCACACCCAGGCCGACACCACCAGCAGCGTGGCGTACACGCTGGCCACGCCTGCCGACACATCGAGTCACGTCACGCGCGGCGGTCTGTGCGACGTTTGTGCGTGTGAGCGCTCACCCGTATAGAAGAGGAACTGGATGAAATACTTCTGGTTCAGTTCTCCGACGCAGTTATTGATCCTTTTGAAAGAAGAAAACTTGTTGTGGCTTAGGGCTGAATAATTTTGGAAAATAATCACATTGTGGTTTTTTAGAATAGGACGACAGTAGATTAAAGGCAGATGAACAGTGAATTTATATGAAAGACTATTTGTCCACTTAACTTTAAGAGTTGTTTACTTTCTCAACATTTTGACTTGCAGTCTTTTAAACGCTCATAACAACAAATTCACAAAATTCTAGCAAACAAGTAAGGCGCAAATTTAAGTCAGTAGGTGACAAGCAGGGTTGAGAAACTAACAAATGTGGGGGAAAAAAATTACAAAAATGCTTTTACCAAATGAAAACTAAAACTGCATCTTAGGTTTATGAAACTAACTACAATTATTACGAAAATATCCTTCATTTTTGTCTTTCTCAACATCACACATGAGCTTTTTTTGGTCTTACAAGCAGCAAGTATTTCATGTGTTCAAAAAAAAAAATTCTACTGAAGTTCAGACTTGGGGTCAAAGCCATAAAATTCAAAGTTTGATTATTTACTAAAACAAAGTATCAATTTGAACATTAAATATCTTGTCCGTGTTGCATATTCAATTAAATATAGGTTGAACATGATTTGGTTTTGATTTATCGTCGCAACTTCCTTGGAAAAAAAAAAGCATTTTCAACAAACTAAAATTAACTTCATTTAGCACAAACACAAAAAAATTCTGGCACGGATGATGACTCGCTCAATGTGTCAAGCTGCCACAGTACAGTTCCAACGACTGCGAATGAGGAGTTATAAAATGTCAGATTTTTTTTGTTTGTTTTTGCGGACAGTATCAGTTGCTGGTATCAGTAGCCTCTGCGAGAACGTGATACTGATACCTTGTATCGGTACTCACCCGTCTTAATAAATAACTTGCTCTAAAAACTTATTAAAACTAAGCAAATTTAAAGAGCAAAAGTCACAATCAAAATAACTTTAATGAACCCCCCCAAATTTATGAACCTGGTGATGTCAGATTACAACAACAACAAAAAAAAAACCCACAAACTACAAACCACGGGCAGTGATGGTCCATGCGGCGTATACATCTTTGGCATACGCGGCAGTGATGCGCCCGCGGCGGTCTGTAGGTTTCACAGCGGCTGCACACGGTCCAGCCCTCGCAGCCCTACACGGTTGCACCACACGCACGTCAGCACGGACGAAACGCCAACTTGACGTCAATACCTAACAGTTACCCTGTCGCTCATCCGCGAAGACTGCGAGCGCAGGTCGGAGAAGTCGAGCGCCGTGTCTGGTAGCGGCACCACACCTGTGAACGGATAGGAGGCGTGCTGAGTGGGTTGGATGTGCTTGTGGCGTAGCGTCGTGACCTCACCGACCTGGGTCCGAGAAGACCGCCTTGGAGTGGCAGGCGAGTAGGAGCAGCAAGATGACGTTGAAGGCGGACCCGTGCAGGCTGCACCAAATGCTGTTGGAAAGGCACCATAACCAAACAAAATATAAATACTTGAATACGGAGACCTGAAAATTCTACCTGAGTACAATGACTCAGTATGTGTTCTCAGGTGCTTCCCGCAACTGCTTCGAACACATCAAGGCGGGGAGTGACGCCGCACGTAAAAACGTCATTCATCTGATTCGCGAATGCTAAACGCATAATGACAGTATCCCGTGACGTAACGGACGCCCTTCCGCCCCCTCAACCGCGCCCAACCAGAGTCCGCCACCCACCTGCCCGAATACGCCGGGATGAGGACGTACTGCACCACCACGTAGTCCGCGTAGAAGACGCTGAAGTACGTCAAAATCAGACAGACTACGCCGCACGGGTCTCGCCGGCAGCGTAGCGACGCCATCTTCAGGAAAGCTCCGCCCATGCGTGGTCCACTTCTGAGTGACGTCAGTCAAGGAAGTCCCGAATAGGATCAAAAACGGAGTTCTAAAAATCTGTGAAATGAATTCTTGAAAGTTTCCTCCCACATTCCAAAAATATGCATGGCAGGTGAATGAGCACTCTAAATTGTCCCCAGGTGTAATTGTGACTGCGAATGGTTGTTCGTCGATGTGTACCCTGCGATTGGCTGGCAGCCAGTTTAGGGTGCCTTGTCCCCCGAAGAAAGCTGGGATAGGCTCCAGCACACGCGACCATATGAAAAGTAGAAAATGGATCGATTCTTGACAGTTCAATGGTTAATTTATCCTTGAACAAATATTGTAGCATTGTTGAATAAATTACTAGATAAATGAAAAATAATCAAAATCAATTGTAAATAAAACAATGATGTAAATAAAATGATTATAAGGGCGTCATACGAGCGACCAGGTGTAATTGTGACTGCGAATGGTTGTTCGTCGATGTGTACCCTGCGATTGGCTGGCAGCCAGTTTAGGGTGCCTTGTCCCCCGAAGAAAGCTGGGATAGGCTCCAGCACACGCGACCATATGAAAAGTAGAAAATGGATCGATTCTTGACAGTTCAATGGTTAATTTATCCTTGAACAAATATTGTAGCATTGTTGAATAAATTACTAGATAAATGAAAAATAATCAAAATCAATTGTAAATAAAACAATGATGTAAATAAAATGATTATAAGGGCGTCATACGAGCGAGTGACGTGCTTCTGTCCGTCAACAAATTACGTTACGTATGTGAATTGTGACTACTCACACTGCACTTGTCTCTATCGTTTATCTCTTAAATGTACACAAACTGTTAGTACTGAACGTGTTTTTTTCTTGAGTGACCGTTCCATTGGGATTTACTATGATGAGTAATTTGTGTAATATAAGTACTGTATTTAATATTGTAAACAGTATTGTTGTCAATAAAGTTTTTCAGAAAAAACGACTTCCGTATACGTTGTGACGTCAGAGCAGTTACAGTATAAATACTCTGCTCCGTCGCCACCCATTCGGCGGAGTGTACACCTAACCCTAACCATGTACTCCTTCCGTACCCAGTGATTGCTGTTTTCGGTCTCGGGCTTTTAAGCAATCTATGGAAGGTTACCCCCTGACGGATTAAGAGCCAAATCAGACGGGCGACAAACAGTCCCGAGAAATACACTCCGTCGAGTTCAGGTCCCCATGGGGAAAGCACCGCGGATGCACGCCGTGGTCAGCTTGGCTGCCGCGAAGAGTTAGTCTCTGCTGCTCCGATGGCTTCCCACCGGGGAGGAATGTTGGCCACTGAACAGATTAACCTGAGCGGAGGCAGTACCGCCGAACCTTTCAATGGTCCGGTTGTGGAGCCTAAGCTCAAACATTTCAACTGCAAAAACGACAACATGGCAACTTAGGCCTCCGCGGCGTTTGCGTTAGTTAGCTTAGCGAAGCTGAAGCTGTAGCTGTTAGCAACCCTCCAGCTGAGAGTGGACATTCGCGTGTTATTCTACGACACTTTGACGGATTGAATCAAATTACAGACTCCGCTTCTTAGTTTTTACAATAAGTAAAGCCATTTTTGTCTCAAATACGGCAAATTCGTCGAATATTTTTCACCGTTTAATTGTATTCAGCGGAAAATGGCGGATACACGTCTTCCTGCTCTTAGCCACAGCGACCATCACGTTTTTCCTGGAGTTACGCCTCAAAGATGCAGCATCGTGTTATTTCTGAAAAATCTGTTATCCACTCAATCCTACGTCAACAAAATTTCATAATGCAATAACTGCCACAGAGTACAAAGCGGCTTTAGTTAAACTCCATTGGCTTTTGCACGCACACGCATTTATGTTTATGCATTCTAATTGTACGAGAACAATTAAGGTGTTTGTTTTCATTTACACTCTACAAGAGAAAGTTGTACTCTAAACATGAATATGAGAATGCTTTTTTTTTGGTGACACAATCACATACTAAAGCACACTCTCCATCTTAGTATGATTTATTTATACACACGCACACACACACACGAAAAATTTCAAAAAAACCTTTGGTATATATGAAATACCAAAGGTTTTTTTGAAAATTTTCTTGTTTTACAGCTGTGAATGTAACTTGTCTTGGTGAATGACATTAAAATGTACGTGGGAGACACATTACTAAAATTTTAAAATTACATAGGTTGTTTTTCATGCGATAGCCCGGTGAAGAACCGGTTAGCACGTCTACTTCAGAGTGCAGAGGTTCAGGGTTCGATTCTGGGCTCAGGCCGTCCTGTGTGGAGTTTGCATGTTCTCCCTGTGGCTGTGTGGGTTTTCTCCGGTACTCTGGTTTCCTCCCATGTTCCTGAGACATGCATGGCAGGTTAATGCAACACTTTCAATTCTCCTTAGTTGTGACTGTGAGCATGATAGGTTGTTTTTCTGTGATTGCTCTGTGATTGGTTGGTAACCAGATCAGGGTGTACCCCACCTACTGCCTGGAGACGGCTGAGATAGGCTCCAGCAGGTTCGCCACCCTCATGAGGATAAGCAGATCAGATAATTAATGGATGTAAGTTTTCGATGCTTATCTGTATTCCAAAATAGTGTGGGTAAAGGAGATAGGGCAGGGTTGCCACATCCAATATGGCAGCTGGGCTGACGTATTGCGGTTACGAGCCAAAAAGCTCGAGGAGGCGACTTTACACTTCCGGGTGGCGGAAGAAACAAGAACCACTAAAACTGAATAAATAGCACTAAAATATAAATAAAAGTAAAAAAATACCATGTAGGTTATCGTACACCTGTTTTGAGAACCACTAAAACTGAATAAATAGCACTGAAATATAAATAAAAGTAAAAAAAAAATACCATGTAGGTTATCGTACACCTGTTTTCAACACTTGTAATTTTTGAACATTGAAAAAATGTTTTTGGTTGCTCACTCCTCCTCCTTCCGCCCACTCAGCAACAAGCTTTCTCCTCGGTAGTTTGCTGAACTTTCTCTACAGGACGCTCGCCTGCGCCTGTCACGGTCATCCTCCGGCATTTTTCTCTTTTTCCGTCGGCTGGAAGTCACACTTTTCGGGGGTTGAGTTTTTGTTTTGCCCTGCGTCGAGCTCCCGAGGGACCATTCAAGGGCAAAAACCATCCGGAGGAGGAGGAGGGCTTTCTCGCTTCAAGAAAAGTCAACCATGGAGGTTCCCGGCATGCAGGTAAGCACGAAGGTGTATCGGGCTCACTAAAGCCAACTAAACCAGTTTATCAAGCGGCGAGCTGGCGTTGTGCAGTAGCAGGCCACTTTTTAAATGTCGGTTCGGTAAGCCGTAAGTATCCAAGAATAGTCAAATGAAACCTGCGACGTCCACACGTCGAGCAAAAAATATTTTGAAAGTCACCAGGCTCCATTATGGAGCCTTGAGGTGCCTCTTGGCGGCGATTTGAATGACAGCTGAGTGTTTGTTGGTGTACATACAAGAAGTTGGGGTGGGAGTTTTCTTAATATCATAACTAAACAGTTTCTCTCAACCTACAATCAGCAATAGAACCATTTATTTTGAATACGTATTGCGCATATCAACAGTTTCATATATCATTGCTGTATACATTGCCATTTCATCATCACTCTTTGTCATCCTTAATGAACCGCTCCAATAATTTAAATTTCTCACATTTCTTGTTACTAAAAGGTCTCTGTCTTATGACTCACAATGTTTTTGTTGACTGTATGTTGAGAGGCTCCCAGGTGTGTCGACCTGTGTAACCTGCCTGGGTGCGCTCGCTGCCTGGTCTTTGATGCAACGCTGAGTGCGGCAGATGCTGTTTTTAAATTTTTAAAATAATTGCCTGATTAGATGGTTTAAATTGATGTCAGAAGGAAGATCATATTCCACGACAAAATTAAAGAAAACTTTCAACTGTGCTTTTAAAAAAATAGCTCCAATGTGTCTGAAGCCATGTTGTTTGTGGAAGCAACGAAAACAAAGGTTACAATGATGAATTAAGTAGTTTGGTTCCAAAAATTGTGCTGCCCTTTCAATGGCTTTATTGAACAAACCAGTCTACCCTTGCGTTTGCTGCCGCCCACATCACTCACCAGGCCATGCCCTGCCATTTAAAGCCTTTCACACTTAAAGTCACAGTCGAATGTGAGGATGTCGACCCCATGTGGACAATATTAATACATCCACCTCACATACATGTTATTGCGTGTGATGCTGCAAAATCTGTTTTTATCTGATTTATCGATGGACAACCAGTAAAATGCCGGAGTAGAAAAATATTTTGCTTTTTTTAAGTGTAATTGTCGTGGTCTCATGTCAAAATAATGATTTTTAAAAAGCAAGAAAATTGGCGGATTTTCAAAGGGCTAATATCAGCTGATGAAATGGGCCATTTGATGAATGGGTCGGGCCCTATTGAACACCCAGCAAGATGTCCAAATTTAAAAAATGGAAACGGTGCCAACCAAGTGACAAGAAAACGAATAATTTAAGTCACTATTTCAGAGTGAGTATAGCTCAAGGCCTTTGATCAAAAGTGTTGAAGTATTCCAGAATTCCAGTGGTGGTTTTGCCGCTGAGGGCGTGCTATAAAAATGGCCGCCGTGTCTTCCAGCCCGGCCGCGTGCGGTCGCGGTGGCGGCGGCAGGGAGCAGCACGGCTGCTGCTGCTGTTGCATGTTGTTCCATTTCCTTTTTTTAGGCGTGTGGAAAGTCGAGCGCGGCCGCAGAGGCTCCTTGCCACTCGCTTCCTGACGTGCTGCCAGCCTGTGGAAAACGCCAAGCTTTTCTTTCACGACACTCACTATGTTTACATGCGCTGAACAAAAAACAAAAAGGAGAGTGAACAACTCTAATTAAAGTAAATCAACTGCCTATCTGATTCATTTATGGTTCACTGATCTTTATTTTAGACCCAAACATTTCTGAATGATATTCTAATACTGTTTTTTATGAAACATATTATTTTTAAAGAAAATTACCTTGAAAACAAATCATGTATTCAATCGCAATATTAAGCGGGGGGTGGGGGGCAATGCATTTTTTTCCAAATATTTGAGGCCTACTTGAAAATTCATGCAAACGCCTGCATTGTCGTGTTTTCCTCTGTCAGAGTTCTCAGATCGATCCAGAAGAATTATTCACCAAACTGGACCGCATCGGCAAAGGATCGTTTGGCGAGGTGAGCTCCTTCTGTGGCACTTCAGTTGCAGGTTAGGTCAGCTGGCCACATTTCCGAATTGATTTGGGGTTTGACAGAATCCGGAATTCTTCCAAAAAGCCTTTTTTTTAATTGAATTTTTCGGAGGAATAATCAATTGGATTGGATTTTTTTTTTTTTTTTACAATGTCTATTTTCATTTGTGAAAATGTAATCTTGTGTTCCAAGAGAAGCTGTTTTTTTGTCATCTTTTATGGTAACTTGAAAAAGTTGGACGTTTGTCACGGAAAATATGGAATTCTTTGAAAGATAGCTTTCTGGAAGTTTTAACATTTTGAAGTTTTCGACTGAATTTGTGGAGCTGCTTAAAAGTGCTCTTGATGATGTTCTTTTTTTCCAATTAGTTCTTTTTGGAACGTTGAATATGTTGAAGCAGATGAGAAATTTTGAGTTTGTCAATTGTTTTCATTTATTTGTGAAGTCTCTCTTTCAAAAAATGGGGAGCCCTTTGGGGGAAAAGTCGGCATTTTGTGGAATCTTGGCTTGAATCCATGAAGAAATTGTGCGTTTTTGGTGGATTTTTTTTGGTTGAAGTTCTTCATTCATTTCAGAATGCTTTCATGGAAAATGTGGATTTCTTCAGAGGAGGAATCTTTGGAATTTTTATTTATTTATTCCTTTGAATATCAAGACGTACGCACCCGGGTGATTGTTAAATGTGGCTCACCGGCAGGTGTTCAAAGGCATCGACAACCGCTCGCTCAGCGTGGTGGCCATCAAGATCATCGACCTGGAGGAGGCCGAGGACGAAATCGAGGACATCCAGCAGGAGATCACCGTGCTGAGCCAGTGCGACAGTCCCTACATCACCAAGTATTACGGCTCCTACCTCAAAGTGAGAACGCGGCGCGCACTCTCTGTCGGGACCGACTGCGGTCGCTTCTCAATTACGCCGGCCCTCATCGCTGCACTCTGTCTTTCAGGGCAGCAAATTGTGGATCATCATGGAGTACCTCGGTGGCGGTTCTGCACTCGACTTGGTGAGGGACACTCGTGCCATTGCCTCATTTTGATCTTTTCACAAACGAATAAAAACCGAGGCCACATCAGGTTTTTTTTAGGTTTAAGGTTTCTTTTTTTTTTTTTTTTTTTTAAGACAAAAACTCTGACCTGGCTGACCGTTTCAGCTGTCGCTTCAGCCTTCATCGGGGCTGTCACGACTTCCCCCCAAAAACTGTCAGCTAAAATCTTTTTTAAATTTTTTTTGTTGCCAAAATTTTTTTAGTAACCTGAATAATAAGTGAACAAACTATTATCCCCGTCTTCTGATTTCAGAATTATTTCCACTTCAATTTATTTATACGCAATGATATAAACGTTTAGCGTTAGTGTTTTTGCAGTAACAATGGCTGTTTGAGCAAAACCGCAACAACATTGTGGCCTGTGACAAAACTGAGTTTGACACCCCTCTGATGCTGACTGGATTGGAATGTAGAACGTGAGACTTTGAAAAGCAAAATAGTGGAGTTGTAAGACAGAGGTCGTTTTGAAAAATGCACAAGATTTGTGAAAAATGACTTGTGTTTGGAAAAATTTGCCCCAAAAAGCAGACGCTTCAAAAAGTCAATTTTGGGGGGAAATGTTCGTTTTCTTAGTCGGTTGAAAACGTGTGAATTTAAGGTGATTGTTCAAAATCAATTCGAGTGTGTTCTCATGAAAAATGTCAAATCATCCCCAAAAAGTTCAAAATTGAGGAATTTTAAACATTTGAATTTTGAAATCTGTTGAGAAATTGTGAATTGGAGCACAATTTACGAAAACGCACTCAAAAATCCACCAATTTTCCTCTCTTTTGTCAAGTTAAACAAAGGAGAATTGTAAACATTCACATTTGTCTGCCTCTAATTCATATCTTTATTGTTATGAGCATTATTGGACCCTCCCCAAAAAATTTCAATAGGTCTACTTTTTTTTAAATCAATCAGATGATTAATTGGTCATCGGAATTTTATCTGCCAAATATCAGAATTTTTTTTTTTTTTGTCTTGTGAAAAAAAATTTGATGTGATCCTCTTTGATGTCGCGCAGCTTCGCGCGGGTCCCTTTGATGAGTCCCAAATCGCCACCATGCTGAAGGAGATCCTGAAGGGTCTCGACTACCTCCACTCTGAGAAGAAGATCCACAGAGACATCAAAGGTGTGCCGTCCACCTCGCATCTTGAAAAGCAAAAGATGGCGTCAAGCCCGCACTCACGTAGACGCGTCTGTCGCCCGCAGCCGCCAACGTGCTCTTGTCGGAGCACGGCCAGGTGAAGCTGGCCGACTTCGGGGTGGCCGGTCAGCTGACGGATACGCAGATTAAGCGCGAGACCTTCGTGGGGACGCCTTTCTGGATGGCGCCCGAAGTCATCCAGCAGTCTGCGTACGACTTCAAGGTCGGATTGCCTTTTGTTGTTGTTTTTTTTTTTTCTTGTGTGTGTATTCTGCTTCTCATTTGTATCTTTATAGTCAGCGTTGCGTCACCCAAAAACAAGTTATTTCATTTGTTGCATATTATCGGTTCTGCCAAATATCGGAACCGCCCTTTCCCACATCCATCTTGGTCAGGCCCTTGTTGATGGTGTGATTCTGAACTCCCACCAGGCGGACATTTGGTCGCTGGGCATCACGGCCATCGAGCTGGCCAAGGGGGAACCGCCCAATTCGGAAATGCACCCCATGAGGGTGCTCTTCCTCATCCCCAAGTCGCCTCCACCGACGCTGACGGGCGACTTCTCCAAGAGCTTCAAAGAGTTCACCGAGGCCTGCCTCAACAAGGACCCCGCCTTTGTAAGAAAATCGCCCGCTTGCCAGCACAAATGTAGCGACGAGCCCCACGTGGCCCTCCATGCGACGTACCTAAAATATGTTCGGTTCTTTGGAGACTCAAAATTGTCAAAAGCTTTTTTTTTGTGTGTGTATGTGGCTCGTAATTTGCCGGCGACCACCTCAGGGTGTTCCATGCCACTCAGCTTGAAGGTTTCAGCTCACCTGTGACCCTAAATTGGGACAGGCACCATGGATGGCCCAAGCAAAACTCACACACGGGCTGACCAGATTGGAAGAGTGCGCTACACGGGCTCCCTCTAGTGGAGAAACAGGCAACTGCTGCTTGCTGCCCTCAACCACATTCTGGGTTGTCTGATTAAAAAAAAAAAAAAAAAATCCAGTGTGGTTATTTCATAGTTTGCTTCAAACCCTTTGTTTTTGGCTTCAGGTCGTTAATACACGAGAAATGCGAAATATATTCTGAAAGATTAATTCGATTCAGAGCGCGCACTTTGCACATATATTGTCCGTATTTAAAGTGGCATATGTCATATTTCTGTTTCAAAAGTGCGTGGTCCTATGCGGCCCCCGGTAGCATTGATGAAAAATTGTGCATTTTTAGTGCCACTTGAAAGAATCATTCAATTAAAAATTCATATATTTTGTCATTTTATGTGAATTTTTCTTTTGGTGGCGGCGCGGACACCCGCAGCGGCTCCTCTTGTTGTGAGAGGGAAGAAATTTCATCACATGTGACAATAAAGTTGTACTTGATACTTGACAAGTGTTCAAACTGCAGGCTGTTAGGGTGCCTTCGATGTTTTTGCTTGAATTCAAAACATGTCTTTTTTTAAGTGCAGTTTTTTAAAAAAAATTGACCTTAAATGAGGACACGCATTGAAGAAAATGGACGGCTGGATTGATGCTTCTATGTATGTGTCCTGCTTGTAACTGTCTCGTATTCCCTCCTTCAGCGTCCCACCGCTAAGGAGTTGCTCAAGCACAAGTTCATCGTCAAACACTGTAAGAAGACGTCCTACCTGAGCGAGTTGATCGACAGATACCGAAGGTGGCGGGAGCAAGGGCACAGCGACAGCAGCCCCGACGACTCAGACGGGTAACTTAAAAGAAAAAAACATTTTTTTAAAAGCCCGCTGGCACACGCGGCAAGTTTGCTTGACTTGCATTGGCGTGTTCAGCGAGTCCAGTGACAAAAAGGACGGCGACTCCCCCGAGTGGAGCTTCACGACGGTGCGCAAGCGCAAGACGGACCAACGGCCGCACATCAACGGCCAGCTGAGGAGAGAAGGACAAACCGCCGAGAGCACGTCCTCCAGTCTCGGCACCGTCATCGCGCCCGTCTTCACCGAGGTTTGAGCACGCACGCGCACGACGATGCGCACGCCAGGGACGACGTTCCACAAGCGCGTGCCTTTTTGCTCAGTTGAAGCAGCAGTACAAGGAGCACTCGGAAAAGCGGTTGGCCATCGAAGAGCTGGAACATAACATCCGACTGACCGAGGACGCGTGTCCCGGCATCACCGATCGGATGGTGACGCACGTCGTTGCCAGGTACGCCATTTTTTCATTCTCTATTTTGTCCCTCAGTATAAGCCCCTGGAAAGTTAGAAAAAATGAAGCCCTGTTATCATTTTCACTGATCAACACGATATTTGGGAGACATGTCTGTCATAATGGGACCCACAAATACCGTAATTTCCTGTGAATAATACCCCCCCTGCCCTCTCCCAAAAAGTCTTGAAAAACATTTTTTTCCTTTGTACTTTGGTATCATCCGATTCCCCAATTTGCTCGTATTTATTATCAGAGTGAATAAAGATTGAAAACCCAGCAGTTAAAGTGTAAATGTGTTTCAATCGAGGTTAAAAACGACTGCTCTTTTCCCATACCTCTGATTAAGTCGCTTAAAGCATTCTTAAAAATCATGTGTTCCAAAATCTTATTCTCGCATTTCTCTACTTTGCTTTTCAACGTCTTGAACTGTTTTGGTAACTGGTGGGTAATGGATTTTTGTACTTTGTTTTCGCGAAGCACGTTGAGTTAACTGGTATATGAAATATGCTGTACAAATCAAGCTGCTCCTCAATGGTGGCATTCTGCCCGCTAAAATTTGAGACGGTGCCACCGCAATTTTACTCCACTCGTGCCAGGGAAGGCAGTAATTTTTTAAAATTTTTATCATAACTATTCTTGAGCATTTGGGGTTGCTGGCAATTTTCTACTCCACCTTTCTTCCCATTTATCATTAACATAGTGAAAATGAGTGAAGTTATTTGACAGCGCGTACCCCTAAATCTTCGACTTGGCACCCCAAAAATTTCAGGTTAGGGGCCCAGGGTGCTCCAAGTGGGTCTGCCTCGCCTGTCCATAGGCTGACCTCAAATACGATACTGGCATTTACTCAAGATGCAGGATTTTAAGACAGTACAATGACACCATCTCGTGGCTGTGAAAAATAATAATCATTACACTTAATGACGTTCTGAAAAGCCTACGCCTATTTCAACCTAAATTCCACATCTGCCCACATTAACGGAAGCAAGGAGCAACAATCGACAAACGTTCCAGGTGACTCTACTGTCGGCAAATAGCCAACAAGATGCACTGATGTGCTCGTCAGTGATGCGAACGGCTTGTGGCCAATGCTAGCGGGCTAATGTGGCTAACTTTTTTTGAGCGTAAAAAAAAAAAAAATCTGTATGTGGTATGGAAAATGATTGTAAGACTTCAGGGCCTCCTGCTTGAAGCTAAACAAGAAGTCTGCCATTTGGATTGAAATAGTTCATTTTGAGTTCCCAAATCCATTTTTAAAATGGCTGGGGAATTAAAGAGAAAACAACATGCTTTAGTAAATCAACATGAAATTCAGTAGATGTGTCTTTAATACCCACAAATCAGTCTCAAGGACCTGTCCCTGAAAGTGAACAGGAAGTCAGCCATTTTGGTTTGAAACAGCCATTTTGGGGCCAAATTACCCCAAAAAGAGACTGAAGAAGAAGAAGAAAAAGACCCCAACACTAGTTTCACTCATCAGCATGTTTCTTGGACTGCACGAAAAGTGTCAATCACCCATTCAAAGTGAACAGGAAGTCTGCCATTTCGGTTCAAAGCAGCCATTTTTCCAAAATGAGCTCCAGTTGGAGCAGGTAACCTGGATGGGTTTTTTTTTGGGGGGGGGGGGGTGGCTTACGCGTCATTTACCACATTTGCTGTTTTTTTTATGCCACCCTTAGGTTCAATGCCAACTAAGGACAAATGGGAAGTGGACGCGGTGATGAGAGACTGTGTCTCAACATGGCCACGCTTGCAAACTGGAGAGCTGCTGTGCAATGTCTCCACACACACACACACACACACACACACACACACACACACACACACACATTTTACTTCACTGCTGCTGGACAAAGAACTCTCTCTGCTTGTTCGAATCCCGCAGCATGGCTTTACCCTTTGTTGATTTGTAGACATAAAAATTTGCTCCGTAGCACTTGACAAAGATGATATGCCAATCTTATTATTGTTGTTTAGAATGTTTTGTTGTTGTCAATCAACACTTTGATCCCAACCACGTCATTCGCAGACAAACCAAACTGGAATCAACGAGAGCGGAAATGCTTGTCAAGTGTTGCTGACAGTTTGAACCAAAGACGATCTGAACCTTGCTCATTGTATATATTCTTTTGATATGTATATCATAAGGGATCTTACTTAGCGGGAACCATCTACAAGTTTTTGGAGGAATGCTTTTCTTTTTAGCGGGACGTAGAGTTTTATGAATAAATATTTAAACTTGATTAAAAATACTGTTACGTCCATGTTGATTCATACACTTATTTATTTACAAACGTTTCCCCTCTAAGGAAGAAAGAAAAGTTGTTTTTTTTTTTTTTTGCTCTTAATGTGTCTTATTCTACAGGGTGACCTTGGTCGCGCCTTTGGTCTCCTTTTTGTTCACCACCACCTCCTCATCCTCCTCATCCAGCTGGAGGCTCCCGGAGGAGAACCTCATGCGGGCCGCTCCGCCGGGCCTCAGCCGACTTCCAAGTGGAGGCGGCGGGCAGTAATACGGATAGAAAACTTCGGGCTCGGACTCGCTGTGGCTCCCAACAGCCCGTTCGGGCACTGGGGAGGCGTTGAGCGGGAGGTAGGTCGGCCTGGTTGGGCGCATCAAGTGGGGATAGTAGCCAAGGGGGCGGAATTCGGACGCGGGGAGGTGAAACTTGACTTCCGGTTGGCGAGGGAGCCCCGGGAGAAAGTTGCAGTCGTCACTGTAATGCCCCGCCTCTGTCCGACCAATTAACCCCGCCCCATTGCTTTCCTCATGGTAGGCCCCGGCTTTCCCGCCCCAACCCAGCGGGTACAAAGACGGCCGCGGTCGCCCGTCCCACCGCCGTCTCGGCGGCGGCAAGCACTCCAGTGAGGCCGCACAGTCGGAGAAATACGGGCGCGGGAATGTCGGAAGCACCGGGTGGTACTGGTAGGCGGGACTGTTGGGGTAGAGGAGAACCAGCTGCTGCGTCGCATCCGGGTGTGGGACGGGCCGGCGGCGCAAACGGTTGCCGTAGGTACCGGCCGGCCTGGGCGCTCGGTCCCTCGCCGCGGACGCCGGTCGCACCTGCGGCAGGAGGGGCGTGACCCGGGCCAGGCTACGACACCTCGGGCTAGCGTACGGCTGGTTGTGCTCCGATGCACAAGTGGAGTGGGAGAAGGCGTCCTCGTACTGCCCGGGAAGGATGTCACACAAACAAACACACACACACACACACATATATAAAAATGATTGAACAGATTGCACAGATGATCTTTTTTTTTTTTTTTAAGTCGACTTTTGCGTGTGTACTTGTTTGGCGACGTCACTGAGGAGATCGGGAGAAGATTGGCACTGCCGCGAGTCGTAGTCTGCCTGGCGGGTAGTGCTGGATCGAGATGGAGACACACATTAAGAATAGTACACTTAAAAAAAAAAAAAAAAAAAAAAGTTGGGTGAATTCAAAATCTCAACACAACAAACATCGATAACAATTTAAGTTGGGCAATTCAAGTTTTGCTGTTGTCAAAATTGGCTTTCTTTACAGTTGACAAAATGGTTCCTTTTATTGAACCCCAGCGAAAAGATAGTCATGAAAACAACTTCCTTGTTTTGTTGCGCTCACATTGTTGCCATAAATGGCAGTCATTCCTATTTTAAACTTTCCCATCCTAAATTACCGTGTTAGGCCCCAAAAATACGACTGTAATTGAGTTGAATGCATATTGTGACCACGCTTGGAACTTGAAACTCTTGCCCCTAAAATCATCTTTGCCCAATGAAGTATACGGAAATCCCTTCCAGGCCCCAACTACCATAAATGAGACGATGATATGGATTGCGCTTAACTTACACCCTCCAATTCAATGAACAAAATACACAAAAACATCTCAAATAATAATTCCAATCGACAGAACAAAATGAAGCAGATTTTTTCAAATTGCCGTCCTTCAATTTGAAAATTGCATTCAATTGCATTGCATTGATTTGAATTTGATGGAACTTTTCAGCTCTCACGGTGATGTCATTTTCAATTAATTGGAAAGAATGAAATCATTCATTGTGACTGCGCGGGTCCTTCAGGTTTGCATGGCTCGGTTCAGCTCAGTGGACTTAAAATGGACGTGGTGTACAGAAAAAAAATGTCATGTTCGCTAAGGCATTTTGCTTCCTGCTGCGTCACCGCCATAATAGATTTCATCAAGGCCACCTGTTAACGTGCGAAGCCTTCTTCTCGCTCGATCCCAAACATTCCAGCAGCTGCCTCTGCGTGCGCCCACTGTCCACATTCGAAAAGATCAAACGTCAGCATCCGCAAAGTATTCACAGGGTTAGAAGGGCTGTGATTATTTTGCGGGAAGAAAGTCGGCACCTGTAGCGAAAGCCGGAGCCTTTTGTGGACAGCAGCGTGGTCTTGTGCGCCGCCTTGGGCTCCTCGGCCAGCCGGAAGAAGGCGTGGTACTCCACGCAGGTTTTCCAGAAGGCCTTGCACACGTCCCGAGTGGCCATGCAGAACTCCAACGTGTCTTTGCGGGATGGCTGAAATGCAGTTGAAATGCACCAAGTTAGCGTGGCCCCCACTTCTCACCCCACCCCCCCAAAAAAAACAATCAGTGTCGAAGAAGTGGACTCGGACCCCAACGGTGGCATGCAGCTTGATGAGGAAATGTTTGCGCTTGAAGCTCAGTTTGCGAATCTTGGCCCAGCTGAAGGCGTTGATCTTGGTGTTTCCCTGAGCGAGCATCCAGAGTCTGAGTCTCGTGGCGCAGAGTCCTCGTGAGCTGATGGCGGCCGCGTACCTGAAAGACCAGCACGCCCGAGTGCGTGACGGCCAGATTGATGCGCGTGCCCTCGCCGTCGCTGGCCGACTGCGGCCGGATGCCGTACATGTCCAGCTTCCTGGCCAGCTCCAACAGGTGGACATCCGACTCGGCCGCAGACAAACCTCTGTGGAGAAGAGTGAAAAAAAAAGTGCTTTGCCAGCATCCTGATGTCAAAGAGCTATGTTGAAATGAGTTTAGGAGGGTTTTGTGTGTGTGTGTGTGTGGGGGGGGGGCAAAACCAGTGCTCTCTGCCATCTTGTGGCATCCTGGTGTCAAGGAATTATGTTGAAGTGAGTTGAAGAATTAATTTAGATAAAAATAGTGCTTCGGCACCCTCTTGCAGTCTCCCGTCCAGAAACTATGTTGAAGTGAATTTAAAATCAATAGACAAAAATAGTGCTTTGTTGCCATTTTGTGGCATGTTGGTGTCAAGGAATTATGTTGACACCAACGGAACTTTGCGATTATTTTGTGTTAGCTTGGAATCAAGAAACTGTTGAACTGTGTGGAAGTTTCATTTTGGCAACAAAACAAACAACAAAACAAAACAAACAAACACATTGCTGGGATCTAATTGTCGAAAGAACGATGCTGACGTTAATTGTTCTAGTTTGCCGAAACTCATGCTGCCACATACATGGCAATGGCGAGTGATGAAAAAAGCGGAAGGGGCGTGGCCTGGACGGGGGCGTGGTTACTTACAAAAGTGGCACTAAACATGCTGAAGATGAAGTGTATTAAATTTACACAGTTTGAAAATTGAACAGAAAAAAATCCCAAGATCGCCACTATTCTTTCAAGTGAAAA